TAGTGCCCAGCAGGGGAGAAAAGCTGGGGCCCCGCGCCTGCTGAGGATAGAGTACTCCGGGGCTACGGGCGCCGCTGTTCTCTGTCCTCGCGGCTTCCCTCTTCTCTCTGGATTCATATATTATGTAATATTAAATATGATGTTTTTCATATTATTTAATGTACAAATACATTAAAAATTGAAAAATTGTTGGCGCCTGCCACACTCTTCTGAAAACATGAATGTGCTACTGGCCACAAAAAGGTTGGGGACCTTTAATAACTGGACAGAGGAGAAATAACTCATGAGGAGTATAGTCATGAAAGTGAGTCTCTCTCTCTCAAGGCAAGTGAAGAGAAAGGCAATGAAGAAATCAGCCACTCTGTGCCCTATTCAGAATGTACTGTATTTTTCCTCTTCAGGACTAGAGTTGCATATAAGTAAATGTTTTATAATGTGCTACAATAAAGATCCTTGAATATTAAACTTTTTATCTTCTAAAAAAAAAAACCCTGGGAGCATTTTGAAGAATGGATGAATCCTGGTAAGTTTTGGGTTTCGAAACCGTCTAGAACTCTTCAAAAACATTCTAGAAGTTTTTCAAAATATTTTAGATATTTCAAATCCTTATTTTCTAAGTTATTTAATATTTTTCTTTGTTAAAAATCACCCAGAAGCAATGAAAAGTTGTACAAACCAACAGTGATCTCCTAAATGGAAAAATCCTTGATGTTCCGGTGTAGCAGGCTTTCCATTCTAGAACCAACAACATTCTAAAGGGGCTATAAATTGTGGACTTAGTTCTTAGATCTTGAGAATTTAGTGCTCTGGTTTTAAGATCAGTAATTGGGGCTGGTATAGTGAATGAAACTCATCTCTGCACAGAGGGCCAGCTAGCCCTGGACTAGTTAGGTGCAGAAACTATTTAACTTGGCTTCGAAAATGTTTTTACCAGTGCTTGTCTGCACTACCTCATACTGCCTGAGGCTTCCTCTCATGCCAGGTTTTTCACCTGTTTAATTTTGTCCGTCTACCAGCTGAGGATTGATTGTGCCCTCTAGCAAAATTGCTTCAGTCTCTCATCACCTTGGGCCTGTGTTGGTGCAGCCCAGAGGAGAGTATCAGAGTCTAGTCCAGACTCAACTGCCCACCCAGTCAGCTACTAGAGTAATCACACTAGCCATATGTTGATATACATCCAGCACATTCTTCCAGTCCTGGGTACAAAGAACCGGAACATTGTTCAGACTTACACATCAGCCCTCTATGATGACCTGAAGCTACTAAGCTAGCTTCGAAAAAGACTTTTGACATTTAATGAGTTAAGTATTTCTCTTGTGTAACTTGACGGACTTAAATGGGAGTTAACTAGAGATTAATTTGTGTTTTGCATAAACAGGGAGGGCCCAGTCTCATAAACATGAATGCATGTGGATAGCTTTACTCACAGCCCTAAAGTTTCTGACATGTGTAAGGGTTAGGCTCATAGTTATCAATTTAGGACACTAAAAAAAAATCCAACGTTAAATCCATATAACCTGAAAGTGAAAAGAATCTTGGTTTTGCTGTAGAACATTCATGGTCTTTATTTCTCTTACAGGTTTTGGGCATGACCAGTGGAAGTCAGGCTGGTTTTGGGGCTCCTTCATCCAGACAGTATGCACGACAGAAAATAACTCGAGTAAACCTCAGGGACTTCATCTTTTACATGGAACAGGAAAGAGAAACTAGCCATTCTCTCCTGCTCTACAGAGCTTTGCTTAAATAAAGCCAAGAATTGTACTGGTTTACTCATAGAGAAGCTCAACCTGCATTGAAAATCTGTAATTTGAATGTGCCTTCTATTTTTTTCAGATGTCAGTGTTCCAGTAGTTTGTTTTTGCAAAGTTGTCAGACACATGCAATAAATCCCCCTTACATAAAAAGAAAGAAAGAAATGAAAATGTGCAAAAGGTTTTTAAAGAGGTTAAATCCATGGATACGATCTATGGCGTTTGGCCATTTTTAGATGAGGCTAACCTGAGTAGATGAGAGGGAGTTTATACAAATTCAGAGCCAGATTGCAAATGCTTACACAAGTCGTCCCATTGATGACACTGGGCAACTTGCAAGAAGGGTTTGTAGGATCGGGCCCGAAGGATGGTATTTGTTTTATTAGCAGTATGTTCAATTACAGTGCTAGCTTTTCTCTGTTTCCTTACCTTTTACTAGCACTATTTTCATTGACTAACCACAGTGATGCCTATTATCATTTTAGATTAGTTATAATTGCAATTTTTTGCACAGCTGAAAGAGTAGCCATCCTACACTCCCACAAATTTTATATATTTATGATTTTTGCTTTTACTACTCATTTGCTGAGCCAATTCCTAAGTGTATGAAATCTGTGCATTCAGGTCCCAGCTGAGTTACCTTGAATAGCTTCCAGTTGTTTTCTAAATCTGCTCAACCTTTTGCACATTTGTAGCAGCTGGTTAGTAACATGAATCTGAGTTGGTTTTTTATTTTAAAAAAATCTTTATTGTGAAGAGTACGGTCTAATCATGGTTTTAAAAATGAGAGAGTAAAGATTTTAGAGTATTCTACACCGATTTTTAAAGTCACGGTCAAAACCAGTTGTGTTATAGAGGGGCCAGTCCTGCTCTCATTGGAGTCAGTGGGAGCAGTATTAAGTCCTCAGGGTCCAAACCTGCAAGGTCATCAGTGTCATCACAGAAGTCACTGGGAGTTGACCTTACCTTGCATGATCAGACCTCGAGACCCTGATCCAGAAAATCACTTAAACATGTGAAACTTTCAGCATGTGATAGGTGTAAGTATACACACATGCTTAAATGCTTTGCTGGACTACAGCATAAGATACCAAAGCCAAGGGAAGTCTTCTTAATAGGCTTTGGATATGGCATTCAGTACGCAGGTGGACACCAGACACCACAGTATTTTCAGTAACTATTGAAGGGAGGCATTTGTTTATTTATATTTTCAAATTTTACCACGTTTATACTTGCCACTTTTTTGAGGCAGTATTTTTTTTTGGATGGGAAACAATACTGAAAGCACAAATAGAACTATCTGTCCAATAGTTTTAAAAACAAAAATTTTAATTATATTTTAAGATTTGTTAAAAGCAGAACAAAATTTATACTGCTGCTATTTAGCCAAAAGATTATTCATAACGTATTTAAGGCCAGGAAGTGTAAAATTATGTTTTAAATGTACTGATAATGTGTACATATTGTTTATAAAGACCTTGTGTTTATTAGAATTATGTTATTTTGATTATTTCTGTACATACTCGTAAATACCCCAATTTGTGTGAAAACATACTTCCTTATTTGTACTTATTTTGTAAAGAAATAAAACAATTTACTAAAGTAACACATTTGAGTGACATACAGTATTAATTTATCAAACATTAATTTCAGTTTCACATTGTCTTGTAGTTTTTAAGCACTGTTCAAAAACATTTTGCATTAAAATATTAACAATACCCACAAAGAAATACTAAAACTGAGTATTTAATGTTCTGTTGTGCTGATTCTTATTCTTTGTCAAACATCTAATAAAACTGTCAACAAACCTTGATGCTATTAAATACAGTCAGTGAATGCACACAACATTTGCTTTCTTAAAGATTTGCCCAATAAGCACAACATAACATTTTCCTTTCACTTTTCTGTCAGACTTGGGAGCACAGTGGCACAGAACAGTACATGTAAAAGTGCTAGAGAAGACTGAAGTTCTCAAAACCACAGTTTCAGTGCTCAGCAAAGAGATTCCAACCAATTTTGTTCAGTGAAATTAGATTAAAAAACAAGGTATGTTTACTTTTCGGCCTTCAAACTAAAAGCATTCGCTGTCTGCAAACCACAGTTTTACTAGAGATGTGATGATATTTTAAAAACTGTTTTACATGACACTGAGCAATGTTCTTAATCAAGCTGTATTACTATGGTTTAGGAAAGAAGTAAAAATTCACATCAGTTTTTGCTGATATTGCTACTTTAGAATATGGGGATATAAAAAAGTAAGAGATACAAATGAAACTGTAATAAACATTAAATCAGTGACCTGAAGTCGCTAACTAAAAGAACATGTCCTAGCTTAACTTTTCCTTTTTAAAAAAAGGGCATATTTCTCCTAACGAAGTGATTGTTTCCATATGTCTTGCTTGCTGCAATGCTGTTTTGCAGTTAATGTTGTGATGTCATGGCTCAAACTTTCCATCTCAAGTTCACATTTAACTCAGTTGGAGCAGCCTGGAATCTTTTATGATGCCACCTTACCAAATTGCTATCAGTACTGTAGCTGCTTTATTGAGCTATAAAAATATGGTGAACACCAAACTGAGGAAAACAGACAAACAAAACCACAAATACTTAATGGCTCTCTACATAAATCTAAAGCATTCTGCCTATGGGCTTGATCCTGAGAGGAGCACAGGGCCCTTCAACTTCCCTTTTACTTCAACTGGAGTTGACAGTCCTCACCCCCTTGTAAGAGGTGCTTAATATCAGTGCCTACTGATACAACCCGGGACACAGGCAAAAACTCCTGTTGATTTCAGCAGTTTTGCCTGAGTCAGGACTGCAGGATTGGCCCATACTCCTGAAGCCTGAATGTACCATAACTACAGAAGAACTTTCCTCTCCTAGCTGAATGTTAATGAATGAAACAGTATGCATGGACACATAAGGGTCCAGCCTCCATTTCTCTCTGAATCACTCTGCTCAGGAAATGAATACAAAACCGGAATATACATGGTAAAAGCTAGGAGCTAAACTGATGCTTTAAGCAGAATTTGAACAGAAGTTGAACTAAATCTCTAGAATCAATAAACAAACACTGTTTTTGAAGAGATGGCTACAATAAGCTGAACTCGGTCAAAGGCCAAGGAAATACAGCCCGAGCTTCTTACCTCTCTTGAAGAATGTGGGAGATAAAGTGAGTGTTCATTCTACTTGCTGCAGTTTTGATCTTTTACTTTACAGAAATGTTTATGGCATGACGTTCTGTATAAGAAATGTGTATACACAAATACATGACAATTATACGTTAAATTTTTTTACAATATTAAATGTATAATATACAATTCTACAGATATCTTACATAGAAAGGTAACGTAGTGCCATCTTTTCAAATATGGCAGTACCTAGCAATTTTATTTAGTGTGTCAAACAAGCATAAAACCATGACATAAAATAACTTTAAAAATCTTTAGACAGATTTGGCCAAATGACCGACAACTGTTCTGCTAAGGCAGCAGGCCAGTAGGCTAAGATTTTTATGAATGACTTGTGATTTTGGGTGCCCAATCTGGGGCAATTTGAAGAGGCCTGATTTTTCAGAGGGAATTTTCCAAAAATCAGAGCCACATACAGTCTCCAGCATGGGCACCCAAAATCACTAGGCACTTTTGAAAAATTGAGTGTTAAACTCCAGGTCCTAATTTGTGCCCAAGTAATCAGATGGCATTAGAGAAACAGAATTGTCAAATATTGCTGACTATTTAATACTCGGTCCCTTGTTCTATATAGCTGTACTTACGCATCTAAAAACAGTTTAATTAAAATTCAGCATCTACAACAGTATTCTATAAATTATTGTGGGAGAAACTAAATTGCGATTAACACATGAATTAGTTATTGAGGACCCAATCATGCTAAACAGCAGTAAACAGGATTTAGCAGAATGCTATTTATATACTTGCACCTGCAAACACAGTGCTGTCTCCTGAGTTAAGGAAGCTGCATAAGTCAGAAGAGTTGATACTGTATTTGTTAAAGGAACAGTAACCTCCTACAGACAAATGGCTTCTTTAAAGCAAAAAATACAGATACAGGGCAGCTAGAAAATCAGTATTTTAATCGTAGTTCAAAATTAATAGAAGGAAAAATAAACAAAACCTGGCCTGCTCCTGTCAGACAGCGAGAAATATGGGGCTTTATCATTCTTTGTAAAAATTCTCGGGCCATGGAGAGTAGGGGGTGTCCAAAATGTTTAACACCTGCTCCTGCACATGGGATTTAAGTATGTTTAGTAAAAGAATAACAAAGGGCAACGGCAGATGCTTTGGCAAATGCTTGGCAGAACCACCACTCCACTGATGATGCAAAACATTGAAACTCTGAGAGAAAGAAGAAAAAATTGGCATCTCAAAAGAACTATAACTCCACATTTGGGGCCCGTGCTATGCCATTTTGATGTCAGATGGCCTTACTAAAAATGCCTACTTTTGCACATATTAGCCATAACTAGTCCTCAATTATGTTTAAAGAACTGAGCACCAGATGACTATGAATTGGTCCTTCTCTGATTTTGTATTCTGTACACAGTTATTTCAGTTGTAAATGTTTTATAAAAATAAGCCATTTGCTAGCACAAATGAGTTACAATCACAGAAATGTAACATAACGTATGGAGGTGTAAAGCACATCTGATATGAGAGAAGTGTGGCATTCAGACAGGGAAGATACTCAGTGCAGTTTTTAAGGTACCATCTTCCTTTTGGTGGACCCTGTTTCATTGCCTTAGAATATCACTGAGGAGGGAAGGGATGCTGTCAAAAGAACTGTCGTTTCTCCAGCTGACATATTCAAATTGCTTTAATTGGTCTTTCTGCAGAAGCCCAATCAAGGGTCAGTACTTTGTGAAGCTTTGCCTTTTTCAACATCACAGCTGTTCGGTTGAAAGTACATTCCCACAAAGCCTTGTACGCTGAGCATGCTCAGTTGTTCATCATGAAAAACAAACAGGTGGTTTTTCAAATGTGTTTCATGGCTGGCTATGTGACAGGTAGTTTTCGAATATCACTAATTGGCAACATAAAGTCACAATTTGTTTGCTAATACTGTTTTGCAAATCCTTAGTGTTTCACATAAGGGACTATTAAACACTTCTATGGTTACAAAGGAGGAAGGGTTGGTTCTAGTCCAGGGGTTCTTGCTTTATTCTGATTGTTGGGGTGGGTTGTGGTCTTCTGTCTTCACGGCACAGCACATATTCACTGAACTGGGAGGAATCTACCCCTCCACCACACGAAGCTGCCACGTTAAATCCCTTCTGAAACAATCTTTCTAGCACCTGCAATGTGAAAAAGAGTGCAGATTAATTTTAGCCAATTTTAGGCATTAGGGAATGTGATAAAAGCATCCTGGAGCAGTGGATCTGAATGATGCATTTGGTCATTCCAGATCTCATAGAATGAATATTATACAGCTATAATTTTATAACTTATTCTTAAATGACTATACTGTGATTAAAGTCTCGCTTACAGCAAACCTCGGTTGAAAACAAAAATTAATCAAACAAATAAGCACTCAACAGAGCAGTTCAGTACATTATATAGTAAAATACTGGACTGCAGTGATATTGATGCTCTCTCTTACAGAAAAATAACACTAGGTTTAAGTCATAATAACAAGTGCCCATAATTCATTATTAATATGGAAAGTCTCAAGGAAAAAGAGCTGCAAAGATTTTGAGCCCTTCCCGAGCTCAAGTAAGTATCCTGGGTATCTTTTGAGTGACACCTCCCAAGGCACTCTAGCATCAATCTCACAGACTCCTTCTCCTCTTCCTAGAATTTAGTGCTGCTTTCAGAAACCATGCATGGGCTGCGGAGGCCAGAGACAGGTGGATAAGAAAACAAATTGGCCCAAACAAACAGGTTAATCGTATTCTCCACGTATTTTTTTTCTTTTAAAGAAAACTTGGGGTAATTTGGATGCATGAGTTAAAGCAGCCCAGAGGCAGCTTTAATTTGCATGACTGGCACTTAACGCTGCAGATCACCCTTGGCTGGATGACAGGGGTCATGTTTGCACATGGATGAACTGTTGATGAACTATTTCTCCAACATATTAGGTGTGCACACCGGCTTTTCAGCAGCAGGTATGCCTGGACGCTAGTTTCATGTGCTTTTCTTCAACAGCCATGGGTTTGAAACCAATCAAAGAGAACCTCACTCACTCGCTCTAGGTGGGGTCAAAACTGAGTCAAGGGCAGTAACACTGCACAGAATCGTCTGCCACACTCCTGTCCATTACTTTCATTGTTCACACTCCAGTGCCATAGGGGGCTTCACTGTTCTTTTCCTGCTGAAGTGCAGCTCTAAGGGCTGGAGATTGATTAATGCTACTTGAGATAGGAACATCCAGTGAACGCTCTTTTTCATATGGGCCTAGAGTGTACTTTAGCAGCAGTTGTTTAGGCATCAGCAATGACCATATCAGTGTGGGAAGAATGGACTTAAGGCAGTTTCCTCATGCGTCTCCCAAATAGGCCAGGCAATGCCTATGTTCTGCCATTGTAGGAGCAGAACAAGAGTCTGTCCTCTGCTACATCCCACTGAGTTCAGTGGGGAAACACGGGTGTAAATGGAAGAATAACTTAGCCCACAGTGCACAATAAGATTTCCTGAATAACAGTGCAAAAGGAATCAGCACACCCATATTTGAAATCTGCATCCAAATACTTTTCCAGCCAAACCTTTGCACTGCTACACTACGAATATTCTTTAGGCCAAGTACTATGCATTAAAGTGCCATAGAAATGATCCACAGAGGAAATGCTAATGTTAGCATATAACTTTGAAAAGTCAGGATAGTGTCTTTAGTTTGTTTAAATGAACTGACACAATGCTTACTTTACAGACAGGAAACACTGTTCCTGCCTATTTTGCTACCTATAAATGTCACCACGAGTGAGCAGATTGTACTATTCTTAGAGTACATAAAGATCTCTCTCATAATATAGGTATCATGTAAATCACCATGTCACAGAACCAGGACATTTGAGACCACTGCAGTAAAAACTGAGCTTGATTATTTAGCTAGTTAAAGCTAAGTCCTGGAATGATCTATTGAATAATTTACCAGCAGGACCGTCGGGCCATGCTGTTGCCTTATTTTAAAAATTGTTCAGTTGACTAGATATTTTGTCCCAACAACGCAATAAGCATAACTTTAGTCTATACTATTGGGTGAGGAGAAAACCCATACGGTGTTTGTATAGGATCTACACTACAGATGAGAAACCATTTCTTTTTAAGCCTTGTAATGAATGACAACATTAGATGGATTTTTTTTTTGTTCTGCATACTACACGTGCCATCAAATCTCATGCTTTAAGGCATGAAGTGATCGCTAAGGGGGAATAAAAAGGAATCTCATGCCAGACTTCTGCCCTGGCCCCCACGCACATAACCATGCTAATGACGACAGGCATTCTTGAGGATGTTGCTTCTTTTGCTTGCTTTCTCCAGAGGTAGAACACTGAATCGGAGTAGCCAATGGTGTGAACTCAGTGTCGTAGATCCATGCTGGTTCATCTGTGGGAGCCTTCCTTTGAGGCCTCTAGTATTAGCCACCAGAAGGTTGAATAGTTGAGTTTTTGGAAGGCAACTAAAGCCTTGTGCTCACTAGCCTAGCTTCCGAAGACTGGCAAAGAAAAGGAAACACTCATTCTAGCACAGCTTTGCCTGAGTCATGCAGTCTGCTCTGAATCAGCTTGCCCTGGGAGCTCTGTCTGGCCCTGGGACAAAGTGATTTGTGTTCTAATAAAGTTACATCTGCCAGATCTCACTGACTTTTGCCCTGATTTTTATGGAGTTTATGTATGTAAGAAAAATATTACAACTGAAGGGAGGAAAAGCCACCCCAGCAATTGAAAAGAAAACAACAGACAAGAAGATAAAGGGAAGAGGGAGAATTTGGTGTAAAAGTATAATTAAAAAAAATGAAAGTCCTCCCCCCTTCTTCAAAAATGAAGAGAGGTGGAAGCTGGGATACAAGCAGACTAGGGGCAAGAATGGGATGCAGGGCATAGTACTATTTTGTCAGCATTGCCCCTTCTAAGACAGAAGGGAGATGCCAGTAACTTGATCAGGAGCGCTGATCAAGGTATCGAGGAGTTGTAGGGAAAGCCACAGGCTGGGATTTATTTTTTAATAGACTTAGCCTAGGCAAGGTGGAGACAAGAATCAGTCCACCCCTACAGCAGGTGCTGCATGACACAGGGGGTCTCCATTTAACTGGAATGAGAGAGGTGGGATCGATAGGTCAAAGCTCAGTGTTGGCGTAGATGTCAATATCTTTACTACAAACTTTTTAAAAAATCCATTTGCTTATCATGCAAAACTAGTGCTGAGATACTGTTGGCTTAGTCCATAGGTATGGCAAGCTGCATGTTAGCATAAGGCTCCTCTTTACTGAGCCAGCTATTTAAAAACACACAAACCAGACAGACATTACATCTTTAAAACACTGCACATAGAACAAAGTGCTACCTGTGTGCTTGGAGGACTAGACTGCAGGCTGTAACCTTGTGTTAAAAATGCAGGTATCATCAATTTTCTGAGCAAGAAGCTAAATGGGTCAAATCCTGTAACAATGCTGCGATGTTTAAATATTGTACTATTTTAACTGCATCTTGCATTAGGTTATACTGAATGCTATGAGCAAAATCTACAGAATGCCCCCTCCGCTGCAGGTCTACAATATCTGTGCGTGCATGTTGCGCACTGCTGTGTGTGAAGTTCCTAGTGCACACAGGAGGCTGAGTGCGCTCTTGCACATGGGTAAGTGGAAGCCATATTTTGCAAACTTGGCCCTAAGTATATGTTATACTGCTTTAAAAAGTAAGATGGCAAATATATGACCGTATCTGTAGAATAAAATCTGAGCTACTTTCCTTTAAGTCTCCAAAGACAATATGCCAAAAAGTAAATGAATCTCAGCTGCGATTTCCCATAATCAATATGAAATAGTGCAATTATGTTAGGATTTAATATAGTCTCTCTGCCAGGCACTCTAAACACACAGAGACATGAGCTGTTATTTTGTTGGGAAGGTCTCCAAACAGAAATATGATACCTTAATGCATTTCATTTAAATTTTGCAGAGTGATATTAACAAATATGGTCTTAATTATAAAGTATTGAAATGTTCAACATACACAATTTTCACAGCATTTTCTCTGAAGTATATTCATATAGTTCACTAAGTCCTGTTGTCAGAAGATTAAAAAAATAACTTAAATTATAGGAAAACTTTATACTCTAAATGCAGCTACAAATGGGAATTTTAAATTGAGGGCTGCTATTTTTTTTTTGTCATAATCCACTAACATGTTGACTTTATTTGTTTTACATGTACAGTTTCATATGAGTCCTTGATATGAAACATTATTTCATGAAAGAATTTGTATAAGTTCCAAAGAATTCATAAATGTTTCAATAATAAATGCTGTATGTCAACCAGGAATGTGGGGTACTGGAATGAACTAATGCTGAAAACAAGCGCCCCATTAAAGAACATGCAGTATGAGCAAGTTACTTTTTGCTTTTCTATGTGACACTACTCTCCACAACTAACCTACCAAAACAAATGCCTTCGGACCTCGCTCGAGTGTTTGTGTTTACAGTGCATTGTTGGGTTTGTCATTGACTAGCATGACCCTTCATTCTTTTATTTCTTTTCAATTTCTTTAATGCACCTAACCATAGCACATAAACAATGTGCACTAAAACAGTTGCACTAACACCTTTAAACTGACTCACCCAACCTATCTAGACTGCAGCCACCCCCTTCCTCAGTGGTGCAGAAAGCTTGTTAAAATGCCATGTCACCAGCAAATGGCCCTGCCTTTGACCCACCTCCATGGACTCCATTTTGTTTGGTCAGAATGTGACCCGACCCAGTTTAAAACCTCACTCAAATAGAAAATGGACATGGACCTGTGCAAAACTAGCCAAGGGCACTGAGTTCATCAGCTGAGCTGAATGAAATGTTTGGGAGTGTTTAGTGTGAAACCAAAATTTGCCAATAGATCTGTTTTTCAGACAGGTTTAATGCAGAACGCATCAAGGAATGTTGTTACAGCAACTTTAATTAAAGAGGAAACTTGTTAATGTAAAATACAGATTATTAAAGCAAATCTGCATATATTATTATATGTCGGAATGTTTTCAGCATATTTAGTGCTCAGAAAATGTTCTAGATTGGCAGCCTGGGAGACTGACCCTCTGCTTAGTCACGGAACAGGTACAATGGTGGCAGCACAAGCTCTTTCACGCTGCCCCACTGATATGCCTCTCCTCTCACATGAAGGGACCACCTCTAGGAGGCTAGACTAGAGCTCTGTAAAGTCTGGCTGCCCACTGGCCTTTCTGATTAGATTGCTTAGAGTACCGGTTGTTCTGTGAATGAGTGTCCACTAGGAAATGGCCCCAGACCTCAAAGTCTTTCCCACAGTCCAGCTAACAGAACAGCTATAGATGTTAATAACTTTGGAACTGGTCACTCAGAGGTTGAAGGCTTCATTTCTCACAATAAAAATCATCGAAGACAGACATCCTCCTTGCAAAATATTTTAAAGATATACATCCAAAATAAGAGAAATTTATTTTGCCTTGACTAATTAATGTCTGTGTTAACAGCATAATCAGCACTGTTCTTTCCACTCGGCACAAGGACTACTACCAACTTCTGCAGCTTTGCCCACAGTTGTATGTGTCGTTCCCTGTGACGGACCAGTTATAGCCCCCAAGACAACTGCCTAAAGACCAGCCAGGTATTTATTCCCACTTCCATCAGTCCAGTTATCATTTTTTGTTTCATATGTTTAATTTTAATCCTAATGTCAAAACTCTGAGTAGAAAATGAAATACATTTTGTTTAAAATACTCTGGGCAATTTTTATAGAACATCCTTTTGAAAAAAAAAAAGTGCAGAGATCAATTTTTTTAAGTCCATCCCGCAGGCACCATCATTTAATTATGAGTGAGACATAAATTATGCATTTACACATTGTTGCATTTTCTATAAAATGGCATGGAGATTTTTTTTTGTAGTTTTTGGAACTCTCTTTTTCTTCCCAGGGGCACTTTGGAGGGAAAAAATGCTGTGGGCTATACATTGATGAAAAAATTAGCATTTATCAGTATAACACTATTATGAGACCAGCATGGCACTAACATACACAAAATCTAAATCTATTTTTCTGCTTAGACTTAGGAAAACCTGAAAGACTGTGATCGCACCAGGCAAAAAATAGGTAATTGAGCAGAAGCAAATAATCTGCATATAACTGAACATGAAATAAAAAAAGTTACAACATGAGACAGCATTGCTTGAAAGGCCATTACCTGCACTGAATTCAACCGGCAGTATCCATTCAAAGGAAACCTAATAACATGGGTTGGGTCTTGGTTCCAACCTGCATTTACAGAGTTGCACATGACATCCCCAGTCTCGGGGAAGATCTCTTCTATTAAAGCTTTCTCCCCACTCAGTGCAATCCTTTCCCCAAGATCTGGAGTCACTCTTACGACCAGGCAATCACAAGGCTGGAAATGTTTCCTTTGTTCTTTCTCTTGTTTCCATCGCTCGAGTTCCTTAATCATTGGCTGCAGCTGGTAATACTTTGCTTCTTCATATAAAAGATTAAAGTCCTATAAAAAGAAAAAAAGAGGAGAGAGAAGAAATGCTTATGGTTCTCCTTGTAAAATGAATATTCTTCCCCTGTGACCTACTTAGGCTTATGTATTGTCAGCAATAGCGCAAAGTCAACAGGTATCCAAACTGTCTTACTCTTCTACTATGTAACACCTACAAAGGAAGCCACACTATATGAGTTTTAAATCGTCTTGAACAAACTGTGAACTTCCCATTGCTCTGAATCATTCTTTCATGTTTATTATCCCACAAGCTCAATGTCAAAAGGCTTTTCTTTTGGATTAAGCAATCAAAATAACTGGTTGCAATAAGCAGGGCCTGCTGATGTCAGAGGAGAGAGACAAAGCTTTATTCTTTACTCTTTGCACAACTCCTGAAATGATACGTATTTAACTTCATTGTTGCAGCTCATACAAGTGCTACCATGGAGAGATAAGCCTGCCAGGTTTTCATTTTAAACTCCCAGTTTTAGTGGTTTTAAACTCAGCTGTGAAAACTCCCTGCAGGCTAAATCTGCAGCACAACAAGGAAATGGCCCAGCAGTCATTTTCTTAAAAATAGAAAAATACGTTTAAAACGTAGTTTGGGACCTGGTAAGTTCCAATAATGCAATGAGCACATGCATGGCTGCAAGCTCATGTGTACTCTTAGCCATCTTTTAAACAAATACTTTTTACCAGCCATTTGTCCATCGTGTGATTTGTTCCCTTGGGTAATTAAAACAGCTCAGTGAATTGAGAGAGGTGATTTCGACACATGCTCACTAACTTCTTTTCAGCAAACATTTCCGGCGGCTTTCTCCATTCCAGACTAAGGGCACTAGTGCGTGCTGAGGGAAAGGGTGCTGACAGCCCCCAATCCCCGGGCAAGCAGTGGGTGCCAACACAGTTCCAGACGCCAGCCAGAATCCCTCTCTAGAGCGTAAGACAGTGCTGGGAGACAGCGAGGGGTGGGGCTTGTGCATCCCCATCTCGAAGACGACATTCAGTTTGGAAAGGGAAAAACAGAAACGATTGAGAGAAGGTGACAAAAATAATAATAAACAACTCTTGGACTTTAGCACCTTTCATGTGAAGAATCACCATTAACAAACCCTCAGAACAGCCCCATGTAAGTATTATATCTGTTTTCAAATGGATATGCTACAGGACAAAGGATAAATGCTTCTTCAGCCTACAGTCAGCCAACATATGGAAACAGAACCCTGGAGTCCTTTGCTCTGACCACCAGAAAACGCTCTCTGTCTAGAAGCATGGGAGGGGTATGAATAATCATGAGAATGCAACTATTGGGCTAGAAAGGAGAAGAGTTTGAGGAGACAAAATAAAGGGATATACAACAAAAATTAGTACAGTGAAAGCCATTTGGTGCCTTCTATGGATCCATAACACAGGATAAAAGGAACTAATGGTAGAATCAGAAGCCAATGAATGTACAAGGAACACAAGGTGCTACTTTGTAACAGCATGTAATCCACCTGTACACTCCACTGCCCCCAGGTATCATTGAAGCAAAGAGTTTAGCAATGTCCATCAAAGCTTTGACTGTTAGGGCCAAATTTGGAACTGCAACTCAGCTGCCTTCGATGGAGGCCTATAGATATATGGATAGGCAATTTAACAGTTACCCTTGTAATCTCCGAACTGTGCTAGTGTATCTCCAATCCCTGGCTTCTGGCAGAAGCTTGCTAGGGTTGGGGAGCATGCACTGGCTAAATGAATTGTGGGGGTGTTTTTTTTTTCCCTTCTTTTATAGCATCAGGCATAGGCCACTGCCAGGGGCAGGAGACTGAAGCAAATGGAACCATCACAGTTCCTATGCAAATCAGTGAGCCTTCAAAGTGCTGAGGGGGCCTCCTCCTAGGGACTGAACCACTCCAGTTCCCAGCATCCTTCATGGCACTTGAGGATGTTAAGCACCTTGCAAGAATGGATCGTAAGGGAGGCTAAAGAAAAAGGAGACGTGCGCTGGCAGACACAACACCACATCAGTGTCAGACAAGAAGTGCTGCAAAGAAAATCGGCTTCATGCATGGGCATACGGTAGGAGCAGTAGAGGATGACCTGACCTAGGGTAAGCAATGGTGTAAGAGCCTTACTTCCATACACTGTGATCCTTATTATGCATCACTGTTTGGACTCCATTCCATTGTGATACATTCCCAAAATGAACCTGGATGATGAATTATTTTATTCAGAAGCAAATACCCATTTCAGAACCATTCTCATTTCTCCCTCCACATTTGCAGAATTCCCTGAACATTAAATTGAAATGCACGAGGGATTAGGCTAAATCTACAGGGACTAATAATCTGCATGCAAAAACACTCTGAAACCTTGTTCACATGGGAGCCTGTAACAGCTCTGTCCACTAGGCCAATGCAAGTATTTCACATATGTACACAGGGCCCTGGTCTCCCATTTACTTCCATTGCTCCTGAATCTAGCCCTAGGTTTATTTTTGCACACGTTCATCATGAAAGAACACACTATTTATGAGGGCAAAGCAGGGGTTTATGTTTGCATGTTAGCCTGTAATAACATCCAAAAGATGAAAACCCAACATGAGCTTCATTATCGAAAACAGCAAGGCTACAGAACTGTGTAAGTCTCTCCTCATTCTGAAAGTGAATGTAGGTCTCACACTCAGCTAAGGCCTGATGCAAAGCCCACTGAATTGAATGGGAGTCTTTCCACATCAACAGATTTTGGACCAGGCCCATAATATCCAGAAGTGCAACAGTCCCCAGCTCCAACCTCCAGGGATATAGTAACATTACAGAGCAAACAAACTCTGGGATCATGCTATCTCCTCCTGGAGCCATCTGTTAGCCCATGGCATTAGATTTAAGTCTTTAGTAACCACTTGCTAACTCACCATTTGTTCTAACTATTTGCTGCTTAATAAGGACAAAAATAAACAAGATATAGTTTCAATCCTCCAGTTTTCTGTGATCAGCCAAAAAAAAAAAAAAAAAAAAAAAGATAAAACAAAAAAACCAAAGAAAAAACAAAAAAAAAAAAAAAAAAAAAAAAAAAGTTGTGTTAAGCCAGGAACCGGTGTTCAAACTCAAATAACTCCTTCATTTTTGTACCCACAGTGATCAGCCCACACTACAAACTGCATACACAACCTGAGTTGTTAAAAACAAAAGTTAGCTTGAGTTCTAAGAGTGCGCACACAACAGTTTTAACATCCTGTTTTTTTGCACCAATTCAAAATTGTTTAAAGCAACAACAACAAAAACAGGAAACCATTTCCCCCCTCAACTACCAACTCAGACTGGAATATTACATGGCACCATTTATCCTGGAGTACATGTTTACAGCTAGTTTACTGCATAGACCTGCAAAAAGTAATTTGTAACAAATGTTTAGAATCCTTTAACTGTACTGGGATGAATGCTCTTAATACTGCAAATGCAGTTGGGGTAATCTACGCAGGCAGTTCCTTCTGCCTGGGATTCTGTAAGTGGCAGCGAAGGAAGTGATTTGCCTGTCATTCTGCAAAAAAGATAAGGGCAATAAAATGTCATTTTTTTAATTGAGAATTTAATGACTGACAGACCAGGAGAGTGAAGTCCTCTATTAATTCACAACACAGCAGCAATGCAAGTTTTACCATACTGTTTCACCCATTCATCACCAGCATGCGCTGGTCCAAAAACTGGAACAAATACAGGCTTTGCATTTGGTCTTGCTCCTGTAACTCCAAACCTGGCGACTGTTTAATACTTGATACCATGTCTGTGGTTGGTAAATTGTCTAGGCAACTGAGCATTTTGATAATTTTAAGGAATTTTAATAATTTTTTGGGGTTGGCGGGGGGGGGGGGGGGGGAAGGGGAGAGAATCTCAACAAAATCAGTAACAAAGAAAACACACAATTGCAGGCACCAGGACCTGATTCTCCACTGTCTTGCACCCGTGTAGTCATTTACCTTTGCAAAGTGGGTGTAAAATGCTACTCTTCAGAGCTGCGAGTGTCTTGGGACAACCGCTTACTCAGAGTGCAAAATGGGGGAGAAGCCGGCCAGACTGCATTAGCACAACACCTGACAGTGAAGTCCCACTGAGATTACAAGAAAAATCTCGGTTTATTTTGCCAGTCACCATATCACGGGACAAGCAGGAAATTGTTAAAGGAGCCCCGTCATTCATAAATGTGTATTTGTATCAGACTGGAAATAAGGTGTCAATTTTTAACAGTGAGGGTAATTAGCTATTGGAACAACTCACTAAGTGGTGGACTCTCCATTGCTGACAATTTTTAAATTAAGAGCGGATGTTTTTCTAAAGGATGTAATCTAGCAATTAGTTTGGGGCACTTCTATGGCTTGTGTTATACAGGAGGTCAGACTAGATTATCACAATGGTCCCTTCTGGCCTTGGAATCTATGAATCTAGTTTGAGGCACACCCAAAAACGGGAGCATTCTACACAAACAACACTAGCTAAAGTTATTATTATTTTTTTGGCTACCATAATGGCACAGGCTCAGCTGCCACACACAAAGCCAGGCACAGAAGAGACCACAAGCTGCTGCAGATTTATCTTGTTGCTAAGCAAAGGGCAGTGTATGCTCTTAGGGACAAATCTGGTGCCTGTCTCCAGGGAGGCTCTGGCAGTGGAACCAGTGAGGTCCTGCTGGGCAGCAGGGCAGGGTTCCAGACACAGTCCCTGCATGGAAATCAGATCTAAAGTCCTTCCCCACCTCCCCTTCCCCACCATGGGCCCACGATGTGGATTTTGTCCTCCCTGAGAAGGGAGAGGGTGATGACCATATGGTCTAACATGGTCTCCAGGCCCCGCCAGAGAGGATTTCCATCCCTCTATCTTCCTGTGATACCCAGTGCACAGCCTGGACTCCAGCACTGTGCTCTGGTTGCATATGGCCCTTAATGTCTGAAGACAAGGAAATGTGCTCAACAGGGCCGGCTCTAGACCAACTGGTGCCCCCCCCCCTCCATTTGCTAAACTTTTTAATACCTTATTTTTTATTCCATTTGTAGCCCGTTTCACGACTTCGATACAGAATTTGCATGCATGATTTATCCCTGTCATATAAGACTGACTGGCAATGTCCCGCCTCTTATATACCTGCAAGGGCATGGCTGACAACATTCTAGGAGGTTCAAGGAAAATGTCTTTCTCAGAAAGTCTGGAAGATTCCACGAGATTCTACAAAGGTCCAGAACATTCTAGGAGGTTAGTGAAAAATGAATCCACATACGGACTACTTGGAACATGTAACTTCAAACATTCTATTTTCCCTTTTGTCGCTAACAACAATAACAGCCCACCGCCCCCCAAGCCCGGCACCTCAAGCAGTCGCCTAGGTCGCCTGCCCCTAAATCCGGCCCTGGTGCTGAACTAAACCACTCAGAGCATGCCTCCTATCAGCTACTATTCTGAGGGACACTGATGGAGGTCTCGACGGAAGAGAAGGGCTGTTGTGGCTCACACTGCTGGAAGGTTTGTGAGAAAACTCAGCCCGTCTCACAGTTCTGGGGGGGCTGATGAGAAGTAATATAAGGGACCGTTCAGCAAGTGTATTCGTGTGCATGTGATTTTCCTCTTTTTCAGGGAACTGCAGCTTCAGACCTCTCAGTCTTGGCTGGTTATTGGCAGGGCTGTTGTATCAATCCCCTCTGGAATCACAACTCCTCACCTTTGTTTCTACCAAGTGAACTAATGGTACAGGTCTGTTATATCAGTTGAAACAGGGAACAGTGGGCAGTGGGCCATGCACACACAAGCCTACTGGCCATTCCTTGGTACCCAGGACAATGTTTAGAGCTAGAGAGAATGACCGACAAATCTTCTTAAGAGACAGCCTTCTGCCTTTCTACAAAACACTTTATCTTTCTGCTCGTGATCTAGTAGAAAAGTGTTCTGGATAATCTGTTGCAGATTTCATGTTTGCTAAAGGTCATGATCACCTCTTAGATTCAACGGTTACATCTCACTGGGGGTGGGGAAGTCAGGGCTCGGTTCTAGCCCAGTGAGTCAGTGGGATTACTCGTGGAATAAATCTCTACTCACGGTGAGTAAAGAGCTGGCTGCCAAAGGCTGTAAGACACCTCTAAGGGCCTGATCTGCCTCCCTTACTGCTGGCTAGGGATGACCTTTATTTTTGTATCACTTGTTCTTCTGCACAGTCTGAAATGGCGATGTCCCTTGGGATTGTATTTGCTTGTGTTTGTTTGGAGGGAGTAGCCTACTGCCTTCTGTCCTCAACCGTTCTGGGCTCCTGTAGCAGCACAGAGATGAACCTCTGGTCATTGAATGAGTTCCCTCCCAGTTCCATGCTCAACTGCATATTGCTACCATGGGTCATTAATTAAGGTTAAGTTGATATCAAACAATGTTAGACTCGGCCACACTAATTTTAAAGCTCTATCAAGGCAAAGGGAAGGCTGGCCTTGTGGTTACAGTGACATAGAGGCAATCTGGGTTCCATTCTAGGCTCTACCCCAGACTTCATGGGTATATCTTTAGCTCTTTGCACCTCTGCTCCTCCTGTTCAATAGAAACAAGAACACTCTCAGTGGTTTGAGTATTGGCCTGCTAAACCCAGGGTTGTCAGTTCAATTCTTGAGGAGGCCCGTTAGGGATCTGGAGTAAAAATCTTTCTGGGGATTAGTCCTGCTTTGAGCAGGGGGTTGGACTAGATGATCTCCTGAGGTCCCTTTCAACCCTGATATTCTATGATTCTATGATTCCTCCTCTCCCCACACTTTGCTGGTCTTGTCTATTCAGATAGTTAAGTTCTGTGGGCAGGACCTAACCCTTCTGTATGTATGTACAGTGCCTGGCACAATGGGCCCCATTTTTGGTTGGGGACTTGGTGTATAAATAAGGGGCCCTGAGCAGTACAAAGGGGCTAAATTCTGGTTGAAAATTCCCATGGTGGATGGGATCCTCCTGGTGGCATAAATCCATCCACTCCTCCCTGACATAGAGAGCGTACCAAAGGAGGTATGTCTACACTCCAATTAAAAACCCACTGCTGGCCCGTGCCAGCTGACTCAGGCTTGTGGGGCTCGGGCTAAGGGGCTGTTTAATTGCAGTGTAGACATTCGGGCTCGAGCTCTGGGACCTTTCCACCTCAGTGTCTTAGAGCCTGTGCTCCAGCCTGAATCCAAACATCTATACTCCAATTAAGCAACCCCTTAGCCCGAGCCCTGCGAGCCTGAATCAGCTGGCATGGGCCAGCTGCAGGTTTTCAATTGCAGTGTAGACATACCTTTATGGACCTTAGGCCAGTGGCTTAAGTGAGAGCAGCCCCTAGCTGCTCTGACTCCCTGAGGCTGAGCTGGTGCAGAATCAGGGATCTCTAACCAGCTCCCTGCCTTCCCTCCATCCCCTGTGCTGAGCAGAGCTTGGATGCAAGGGAAAACAAGCCCAGCAATTAATAATAATTTCAAAAAGTTTAAAGCATCACTCTGTACACTGCTTAGAGTCCACAAAATCATGAACGCTGTATAATCTGTTAGGAATGTTGATCTCAGGAGGGAGACCTGTCAGATGCAGAATACTTTCAAGTCTTGTCTTATTAGTAATTGGAACTGTAGTTAATATTCACCGTAAACACACCAGTCAGACTTGATAATAAAGAATCACTAGCCTAGGAACACATACTCCACTTTCTCTGCATTTCAGTGTTAACTCAGTCTGAAAACAACACTTAAATAGCAAACACAAAAACATTGGTGTGGTACTAACATTCCAAACTTTCCAAAATAATCTGAGCAGCAATTCAAGTTGAAAAGCAAGTTGGCTTAACCTTGAGGCTACTAAATGACTTGATTAAATTAAAGGGGTAAAAAACTAATAAATATTCAGAACACTTGACAATGCTTTGTTTGACATAAAAAACATTTAATGCAAGTCTCACTGGAAAACCTGTAAGGTTTTTATACCTTAAATAATGTTTTGCATTTAGAAACACCAAACCATTCCATTTGCACCCTTTGATTGTTGTCTTCTGTTACTTTAATCACACTGGCAAAATTACAAGATTTCTGTGAAGTCAAAACTGTTTACAGTGCAGTTTTACAGTGCATAGCTTTGCAATGCATTCTTCTATGCATTTTTTGTTGAGTTACTCCCTACCTAGCAATACTTTGCTTTTGTTCTGAGCCTTAATTACCCTGGGGTCTACTCTAGAGCTATCTCAGGGAGGAATAAAACAAAAATACAATTAACGCCATCCAAAAAGGCAGCATGGAACAATAGACTGGGCATGGTCCTTGGAGCTAGGAGTGCCTGAGTTCTAATTCCAGCCTTGCCACAGCCTCTTTGAGGCTGGCGTACACTTTGAGGATACACATTCTCACATCCCCTTGGTTCTTGTTGTACAGCATCTCTAAAATCCATCCTCCCAAACCCTTGATAATGTCTTGATCCTCTCTCCCAGTTACTGCAGTCTCCTCCTCCCCGTTCTCCTTGGCTGGCTCCCACCAGTCTATCCCAAATATGCTGCTAAAATCATCTCTCTCTCCTGCCATTTGTGCTACGTCCCTTTTCTATTCAGATCCCTTCACTGGCTCCTTCTCATCGTGCACAAAGAGCTTGCGGCCCTTAGCTTTACGGTCCTGGCCCAATTCCACTCCTACCTGCAGCTCTTCTCTCATTTTCCCCATCTGCCTTTCTGCTCTTCCACCCTCTTCCATTTATAGTCTTCTCCCTCTTTTCCACACTCCACTCAGAATCATCCACCTCTTGTGCACCAAACCACCACCTTCTCTGCATACAGAGTGCTGAAGATCACATTTCTTGTGCAAAGCCTTTCAACAAATAATCTACGAGAGCCAAAACCTTGCCACTGCTTTGAGACCAGCTCTTCCAGTCCCCATTCACATCATATATTATGTGTCTGCACTCTGCTGTCTGGCCAATTTAGACCATTTTGACCATCCAGAATTAGCAAAGTTGTCATTATCTACAACCAAACAGTCAAAACGTATTGCTCCATAGAATCCCCTCAATAAATTGCATTCTCCTGAGAGCACTTTACCTTTCACAGTCTGTGTTAGGGATCACTCCTTAAAAGCAAAATGTCTTAACAAGTTATGTCTAATAGAAATCCTCATGGGTTTATTTAAGATTGTGAGGGGTTTTTAAATCACCAATTTAGATTTATGCAACTTAAATTGCTGTAACTATCAAATAGAAAACATTTCTTTAAGGTGCTGAACATTAAACTGTGGTAAATGTTAGCTCTTGCTACTGCCGCTTCTTAATTGTTGTTATACCCTGATAAATAAGCTAAAAATGTGAGAAAATAAAATTAGTTTAGAAAAACTGATTTAGCCTTGAGCTTCATCGTTTAACTTTTTATGGTATCCATGACAACCACTGGTCCATTTATTAAATCATAGCGTCCCCAATGTAATACACAACTACTAAAAACTCTAACAATAAACACCAACATTTAGTTAACTGTGTTTAGGTCAAGCACACAAACAAACCTACACCAAAATAAATGACAGAAGGGGGGGGGAAATGGATTGTAGACTTGGCCTCACTTACCTTAAAGTCATCTGGGAGTAGCAGTTTAGATGTCCTTAGGAAACTTAATATGTATCTGAAAATTTCACCATCTCGATCAATGAAATAATGTTGTTTTAAACTGTCTAAGACAATAGGCTCCGTGCCATTAAACAGACGACTTATTCTGAAAAAAGAAAAGAAAAAAAATGGGTAGAAGAAAGACAAAATTTCATTAGATCCTGCAGGCTTAGAAACAGTCCAGCCAATTCAGTTGTCTCAGTTCAACTTGCATAGGGATAACAATAATAATGCAGTATCTTAGTTCTGTAAACTCTGTGACAAAGGAGAATGTGTGCAAAGATAGATGTTACATACATACATACATGTATGTAACACACACACACATGTGCACACACATACATCTATACTGATGGAGAGAGGGCCCTATCCCGCAACCGCTTCTCATGTAAAATTCTCATTGATTGTGACAAAGGAAAATGTGCGCTGTGACAGACCCAGACCAGTGGGGTACAGGAGTCTGGTAGAGGGCAAATATACTGGTCACTGGATGAGTAATTTTCTGTTCCCTGAGTGACCAGAGCAGGGGCTGCACTAGAGTAATCAGGAACCTGCTAGAACCAGTTAAGGCAGGCAGGCTAATTAGGACACCTGGAGCCAATTAAGAAGAAGCTTCTAGAATCAATTAAGGCAGGCTAATCAGGGCACCTGGTTTTAAAAAGGAGCTCACCCCAGTTTGTGGTGGGAGTGTGAGGAGCTGGGAGCAAGAGGCGCAAGGAGCTGAGAGGGAGAGGGAGAGGGTGTGCTGCTGGAGGACTGAGGAGCACAAGCGTTATCAGACACCAGGAGGAAGGTCCTGTGGTGAGAATAAGGAAGGTGTTTGGAGGAGGCCATGGGGAAGTAGCCCAGGGAGTTGTAGCTGTCATGCAGCTGTTACAGGAGGCACTATAGACAGCTGCAGTCCACAGGGCCCTGGGCTGGAACCCGGAGTAGAGGGCGGGCCCGGGTTCCCCCCAAACCTCCCAATTTTCCTGGACCGTGGGTTCTCCCAGAGGGGAAGGTCTCTGGGCTGTTCCCCAACCCACATGGTAAATCTCTGAGGCAAGAAAATCCACCAATAAGCGCAGGACCCACCAAGATAGAGGAGGAACTTTGTCACAGCGCATAGATGTTACATATATACACGTGTGTATTTAACACACACATTCATCTATACTGATGGAGAGCGGGCCCTATCTCGCAATCGCGCCTCATGTAAAATTCTCATTGATCAGAATAAGGGTTGCAAATAGGGCCCATAATTTTGCCAGGAGTATTGCCTAGAAGGTTTTTGCCTTGCAATAGACTGAGCATAGCTGATATGGATGTGAGGCGCTAACTACATAATAAGTTCCTAATTACCATGTACAGCTTATCCTGAATTGAACTGTGTTGACCTTCTAGTCAGTACATTTTTCACCAGGTCAGTTCTCATTAGCCAAAAAAATATTTCCATTTTTGAGAAGACAGTTTAAATTAACCAATGTTAGTTACATAAGCCCCTCAGTGCTAGATATTTAGGCTTCTGTGGCTGGATGGTTTAGACAACTAGTTTTTGCACAGCTAGGAATGGTCCATACAAGCTTCTGCAACTATTCCACTTGAGGCCGTGGTGCTGTTGCCAGTATTCCAAGAGGAGTCATTTCTCACCAAATGAGGCATACAAAGGGAAGTCATTTACGTGTTTTGTTGCCAAAGAAAAGGAATTTAGACATTATGCCAGGTGGCTAATTGGTTAGACATAAACCTGACCAAAATGCAAATTTTTAAATATTTCCTCTTTAATGAGACCATCATTCCAATTCCCACTGCTATCTCCTTTAAGTTGTGAACAATATACTCTACATAGCAAGAGACCTGGGCATTGCCTGGCTGGGATTTCATCCTCCCCAAAGTTACAAATGACTGTTTGGTTACAATATGCTTTGTCTTCCCTTGAGAAATAACACGATTTACACACACACACTATTCTTGAAAGCAGCATCATAGACGACAGACAGAAATGACCTATGAAGTAATCGAGTCCATCTCCCCGATAATCATCATTTCCTACTGCAGTTACTAGTGTTTTGCCACGTTTAGTTTTAAATGTCCCAGACAATGGGAGTTCCATTATTTCCCTAGGAGACTATTCTATGGTCCTCTAGATTCCACTGTTAAAAAACCTCCCCTGCTAGTTAGCTTACCTATGCTCCCACTATTCCCCATTGTACCCCCTTGCATACCCTAAATAATTTTTTCCCACACCTTGATATTAATACAGTACTCATCAAATATTTGTATGAACTCTCCCCTTAACCAAGCTATACCATACATAGCCCCCTTTTAACCTTTCCTTATAATCTCTCCAGCCCCTTAATCTTTTTTGCTTCTCCCAGAACTCCCTAATTTGCCCATCTCTCTCTGATAATGAGGTGCCCAGAACTGACTGCAGTAAGCCAGGTGCTAGTGCACCAGAGGTATTTAGAGACACTAGCACCTCCATGTTCTATGATGGATATCTTTGTGTCTGCAGCCCGAATTTGAACAGGCCTGTTTTGAGGTTGCATTGTACTGCCAATCTATGTCCACTTTGCTCTCCACTGTTGCACCTAAATTTGGTGTCTCCAGCTCTTTCTAATTTAGTATCATCTGCAAATTTAATTAATGTGCCATTTACTGTCTTCTATATTAATTATGGAGATATTAAATAAGAATGAACCTAATACAATTATCTGCTATACTTCACTAGAAATCCTATGCCCTTACCCTGACTCCATATTTTGCTGTTTCTTTGTCCTGTGTTTATAATCCTTCAGTCAGTATCAATACATGTGCCAGTGTTTGCATTGTAGCCAATTTGAATTATGAAAATATACCAAATGCTTTCCTAAAACCCAAGTACAACACATCTGCTGCATTTCCTTCAACCTCTAGTTTTGCAAATCGACCAGAAAAAGCAATCAAGTTTGCCTTGCAGTGTTTATTCAGTGTAAACCCATTGTTCCATGGGTTCTCAAAGTTTAAAGGTCTTGATTTTGCTTAATAGTTATTCCACTATTTCTCTTCCAATTGTTATTTTACTGGAAATACTAGGGGTATCTGCTTTAGTTGTTACAGGTTAAATATACGCTTTGAATAGTGTTATATTTTAGTCCATTAACTAAAGGGTTAATTTCCTTCATAAAGTATGCACGTGGGCTAAAGGAGTCCAACTGAGTTTCTGTGCAGCTCTCGGTTTAACTGGAAAGAATAAGAGGTATCCTGATACAACAACTCATGTTCAATTTTGCACTTGTATTGAATTAATTTGCTTGGTGACAGAGTAGCTTTGAGAGCTTACAGCTAGGCTGCAGCTTTGATCTCTTACCCCTTGGAACCTTTCTTCTGAGTTTTAAGACACACTGAAGGAAATCCAATGGCTGCTTTCAGATTATTCAGTATAAAAAGCGGAATGTTTGTCAACAAAGAAGAGATGTAGGGAGGATTGGATGAAGGATTTCCAATTAGGCTGTGCTTAGCGCAGTGCAAGATTTTTATTGTAGAGAAAACAAAAGGCGAGTTTTCAGGCCTGTGTGGATTGCCTTCAGCAGTATTTCTTCACTACTGAATTTGCTGCTTGGGAAACTCACAGAGTGTTGAAAGACTTAACTGCCACCCCAAAAACAGAATGAAAAATGATTAAGGATTTACCTGACATTTTAGGAGGCTCTTATGCTCCAAGAACAAACTTCAATTGCAATATGTTATGCTGCACCCAGAAAGGATTCCGCTTCCTAAATTATTTCACAAATGCAAATGACACCTTTGTGAAATCCGCTAGAAGGAGCAACATTTCTGGAGCACATGGTGAATTCAGCGAAGAAGGCAGGAACATGGGTTTCAGGCCGAAGCCTTGCAGGTTTGCTGGTGATCTCTAAAGCCATGAAGAGCCTGCTTACCGACAGCTGCACATTAGAAAGAATGATCAGTTGATTTGCTTACTCAGGTAGGCCTCATTTTGGAAGAGATGAAACAAAGCCTGCAACAGTATGGAAAGGAACGGTTTGCAGCCTGTTCAGTAAAGAAATAGCGTAGCAAATAAAGTGCAATTTAGGCAAATGAGAGTCAGCGTGCAAGATGCCTGTTTGGAAACCACAAGAATGATCTGTGTCCTTTACAAGACCAGACAGCTGCTGGAACTGCAGATCTGCATGTAACTATACAATAACAGAGGGTCATGTGTCTGGAGAGATGTGCTGTTTCCTGGTACACTGGAATATGGAGAAGCCTCAGGGCTTTAGCAACTTGGCACTGTGGTTCAAGCATGTCACCAAGCAGATATAACAGAGATGCCAAGGGTTGGCTGTCCTTAAGAGTAAGATTTACAGCCCCAAAGAGTGAGATTCAAGGCCAAAGAGTGAGACTTTCTTTTCAGGTGGCGTGTTAGGTCATTGCTTAAGACAGGGACTCTCATCTTTGGTCCTCGGCGACATCCAATAGTCCAGGTTTTTAATCCAACCTGCGCTTAATAGTTTGTTTTAAAATGTAAACTGCTAAATATTGCACATGAAACACTTAAATGTCTTAATTCATACTAAAGTCTAGGGCAGTGGTTCCCAACCTGTGGTCTGTGGCCCCCTGGGGTCCATGGATTATGTCTAAGGAGTCTGCAAGATTTAGACTGTAAACTGACTGAACAGCATTCAACTATATATACAGACAATAGATTTCCAAGGGGGTCTGCATCGCCATTTGAAATTTCCAAAAGGGTCTGCACCTCCATTTGAAATTTTTTAGGTATCCACAAATGAAAAAAGGTTGAGAACCACTGGCCTAGGGCACATGAGAATTTTATATACAATGCAAACCAGAGGATTTTAATAAAAACAATTATTTGCTGGTTGGAACAAAAACCTGGATGGTTGGAGATCCCTGAAGACGTGTGTGGTTTAAATTTTGAACTGTACTTTGCAGAACCTGCAAACTTTTGATCAAGTCCTGCTCATTTTCTGGGCGAACTCAGATTTTTTTGACCACACACGCAGGCGGATTAGGAGTTTGTGGGGCCCTGGGCCAGAGCAAGTGGGGGCCAGTCTCCCCTCCCAGCATCCTGCCGGGGTCCGGGGTCAGGGCATGGGGGCTTCCCCTGCTCCCCAGCAGGATCCC